CTTCACACTCTTCCAAACTAGTCCTCCCACCAGCGTACGATCAGCGGTCGTGACACCTTGCCCGCCAACCCACTGGGATAACAGCCCCTAAAAAAAAAAAAAAAAAAAATCGCCCCCCCCTCCCCCCTTATTGCCCACCCTCGGGCCCCCCGCTCCTCTAGTCTCATTCCTTTAACTTCAACTCGCTCCCATCTTCAACAAACTCTCTCTCTCACTCTCTCTTTCCCTCATACGGGCAAAGCACTAAGTGTTTTTTGTCGAACAGCAGAATGCAAGCCCCTAGAAATGGCCGTACCGCTGCCACATACTCATCGGCAGCGAGGCGGTCATGTCAGACAACCAAGATGACATTGAGTGTGATTGAGAACGAAGCTTTAAAATTTCTCATCGAGAAAACCAAGGTCGACGGTGTACAAGTGAAAAAGACTATTCCCAACACGCAAGGTAAGGAAGAAGAAATTGTAGTCTGGAGGTACCCAGAAGGGAAAGTGGCAGAACTTGATGAATTCCACGAGAAACATGGGGGTAATCTTCAGCTTTGCAAGAGGCGGCGCTGACCTTATGCCAGCCGAAAAAAGGAAATGGGTGATTGCAACAATTAAGAAAGAAGGAAAAATGAAAAACATCAACAACGCTTTCTCGTTACAAAGTCTGGGACGCAACTCGATCATGGTGGTGTTCAACCATGAAAAGCACGCGCTGATCGCATCTGAAATGAAATCAAGAAATTGCAATGGCTCGGTCTGCACAATCTCAGCTTGGAAAAAACAAACGAACCAACGGCCAAATCCAACTTTCACAGTCTCATACAAACGAATGCTGATGAAGGCTGGGTTAGGCCGACGTCCGGCCCAGACGGACCGGGCCAGACGGACGAGGGGAGGTCCGTCCGGTAAAACCAGACGAGCCAAAAAACATCCCAGGAATTTCTTTTTTTTTTTTGAAGATGGGGTTGGAGTGCGCTTGCTGAGAGGAGCCCGAATCCGCAGAGAAACTTGTG